GATGCCTTGTCAGAGGCGGGTGCAATGACCCCCTTTTCTGAGCAAGTTTCTTTGAGCTAGGTCTTCTGAAGAGAGAGGGTTTATTAAGTGAAGGGGAAGAAGGCGGAGTGTCTCAGATAGAGGGCCCAGCGGGAGTAAGGCATTGAAATGACCAGAATGGGTGGCAGTCAGATAGGCTGGTATTGCTGAGTGCTGGGGAAGATGAGGGCCAGCCCACATGTAGGGGTGGGGGAAAGCCAGACTGGGAAGATCCAGGAGACTTCCATAGGCCAACATGATGAGGCATTTATAGATCTGTGCAAGGTATTTCTCTGGCTTCACTTACCAAAGACATGTCATGCATTAAAAACTGTGAGATCAGCAATCAAGTTAATTAAAATGACTAACTGCATTAACATTAGTGGTTTTTAAAGCAACAAAGCCCTGAGTTTGTTAGGGAAGAGGCATTACATCTGTAGGGGTAGGGTAGGGAATGGATAAAATTACTTTTTTTTTTTTGGTACCAGGGATCGAACTCGGGACCTTATGCTTGTGCGGCAGGCGCCGGAACCATTGAGCTAAATCCCTGGCCCCATTGTTACAGTTTTTGAAGACTGGCTCCAACCCCATATCCATTAGAACATGTAGGTAACCCCCACCTACCCTCACCCCCACAACAAAAAAAGGAAAGAAAGAATATAAGTGTGAAAATTACCTGTAATCCTATCTGCTATCTCCCAGAGATAACCTCTGTTAACATTTCAGGGCACAACTTTGCGGACTTTTTTCCTATGCATATTTATTCATACATTATAAAAATGGGATCACATCATGCATACTGTTTGGTTACCTATTCCTTCCACTCAACAAAATATTGTGAACATCAGCATATACAGATACATATCATTGTTTTAAACTGTGGCACCATATTTTCTTGTGGGCATGACTGTCCCCTCATTTACTGAACTAATCCTCTCTCAATGGACAGTTAGGTTTCCAATTGTTTGCCATCATAAGCAGTGATGTGATAAATATTCCTGTACACATCTCTGCATATTTGAGGGATAAATTTCTAGAAATGGAACTGTTAAGTCAAAGATGACACACTTTTTGAAGGCTTTTGATGCAGGGAATAAAGAATCCTTTTGTCAGAAGAAAGACCATTTCCTGCTGTCCTGAATAACCTTGGGTAATAATTGTTCTTCATATTTGCTAAACTGGTAAAAGATATCTTATTGTTTTTATTTTTCTTTCTTTAGTTATAAGTAAGGCTGAGCTTTTTGTCATGTCATTTGTGTTTCTTCCTTAATGAGTTGTCACTTCATTTACTTGGCCTGTCTTATTAAGAAATCCAACTTTAAAAAATGTGATTGGGCTGGGGATTTAGCTCAGTGGTTCTGCCGCCTGCCTTGCAGGCACAAGGTCCCAAGTTCAATCCCTGGTACCAAAAAAAGAAAAAAAATGGGATTATCATCTGAAAAAAAGATGTCATACTTACTAGTTTTATATTAGATCTTTTTTTTTGGTATTGGGGATTGAACTCTGGTCCTTGCACTTGCGCAGCAGGTGGTGACACCACTGAGCTAAATCCCTGGCCCGATGTTAGAACTCTTTAGGGATGTTCTTTTTTATTTTTATTTATGCTACTTTTTAAAATCAGTTTTGCTGTGCCATAGATGTGGTAAACAAACATCTTTTCCAGGTTTACCTTTTAGGTTTGTTATACTGTTTTGCAGTATTGTGTTATACTGATGTTTTAATTCTTTTTACCACTGTATCTATCTTTTCTCTCAGATTTCTGCCTCTGAGGTTATGCTCATGGTTCATAGAGTGAGCTTTTTTTTCTTTTTTTGGTACCGGGGATTGAACTTGGGACCTTGTGCTTGCGAGGCAGGCAGCGGAGCCACTGAGCTAAATCTTGGGCCCCTATAGAGTGAGCTTTTAAGGGAATGTTGTTGGAAGGTGTCAGTGTGTGAGTGCTGACTCAGAAATCTACAACGCTAGTCAGCTCCAGACTCCTGTGTCCAGCTACCAATTCAATATTCTTCCTTGGAAGTTGGGCTCATATTTCACACTTGCCATGTCCCCTCAGAACTTTGATTTTTGTCAGGTGTGGTGGCACATGCCGGTAATCTCAGCTCTTTGGAGGCTGAGGCAAGAGAATTGTAGGCTCAAGGTCAGTTTGGGCAAATTAGTATGACTCTGTCTCCAAAAAAAAAAAAAAAGGGCTGGGGATTTAGCTCAGTGGTTCCGCTGCCTGCCTTTCAAGTGCAAGGTCCTGAGTTCAATCCCCAGTACCAAAAAAGATGAGGGGTATATAGCTCAGCATTCCCTGGGTTTAATACCCCATACCACAAGACAAAATAACAAAACAAAGTCCTTGATTTTTATTCTTTAATTTCCCTCCTTGAATGCTCCTGATTTAGGAAAAGATCGAGCTTTACTCAGTTGCTTGGGCCAAAACCTGAGTTTCCCTGTTTTGCTGTCCTTCCCTCATTTCTTAGGACTAACCTACCAGCAATCATGTTGGTGTTACTTGCAAAGTGGGTCCAGAACCTGAGCTCTTCTCACCACCTCCTGCCATCCTAGCGAAGGCTATTGGTCACCAGTCTGGACTTCTGCAATGCCATGCTGCCTTGGTCTCTTTACTCTTCTCCTCCATCCCCACCGCCAGTCTGTTCTTCATCCAGAAGCCAAAGTGAGCTACTGAAAACAAATCATGTTACTCTCCTGTTCAGGACCCTCCTGGACCATCCCAACACACCCAGGATAAAATTCAGACTCCTCACAACAGGTTGTGAAATCCTCAGCAACAGGTCCCCTCTTCTTTCTCCAGCCTCATTTTCTCTATGATCTCTCTCCTCCCTCACTATGGTCCAGCTACCCTGGTTTTCTTGCTTATTCCTGCCTCAGGGGCTTTGCCCTTGGGGTTCCTTCTTCCTGGAAAGCCTTTCCCCCAGGGTTTTACGTGGCTAACTTCAAGCTTCTGCTCAAATGTCAGAGAGCCCTTTCCTGACCACGTATGCTAAAATAATCTCCCACTTTCTTTTTGTCATACTCCTCCTTTACCTTATTTTTGTTTGTTTGTTTGTTTTGGTACCAGGGATCAAACTTGGGACCTTGCACTTGCAAAGAAGGGGCTGGAACCACTGAGCTAAATCCCCAGGCCTACCTTATTTTTTTTTTCAGAGCACTTATTCCTGTTTGCCATTCTTACATATATATCTTACTTGTAGATATAGATCTCTCCTTCCTGAAATATAAATTTCATGAAGTTAGGGATTTGGGTATTTGGGAAGTGTGTGCTTAATAGCTTTTTTTTTTTTTTTGAGACAGGGTTTCACTATTGTAATTCAGGCTGGCCTTGAATTCACCATGTGGCCCAGGCTGACCTTGTACTCAAAGCGATCCTCCTGACTCAGCCTTCTGAGTGCTGGGATTATAGGCATGCACCACCATGCCCTGCCCCAATAAACATTTATCGAATGAGTATGTGTAATTTGTGCGTGTGTGTCAGTGGAGGTCTGTGGGTAGCTGTATCTCCTGCATGACATCTGTGAGAATATCTGTGTGAAACTGTGGGAATAATGTTGAGCTTGTATGAGTAGGGTAGCTTCTGTAAATGCCTTGCCGACAATGTCTGCATATGTGTTTGTGCAGGAAACGTGTGTGTGCTTGTTTGCAACTTGTGCGCATGCTGTAGGTGTCTGTTTATGTATACCTGTATCTATTACAGTGATGGTAGAGATCCGAGATACGTGGACATGTTCTTCCTCTTACCAAATGGAGCTGCCATTGCTCCAATCTCTCATACCTGGGAAATAGAAAACATGTTTGTATCTTTGGGTGACTACAGGCATGGGGTTACATTCCAAAAGTGACATTTCATATTGATGCAGGGTGGGTTCTCAGATGAGGACTTCAAGAGTTGGGAAGGAATCTGGGGCTGATGAGACCCGAGCAGTCTTGTGCTGATCCAAGAGATCTCAGTGGGAAGGATGTATTTTTTGATGAATAGCTGATGTTCTTGGAGCAATCAACCACAGAAGAACTAGTTTACAGCAGCGTGGGTGGGATAGGCCTTGGATTGGCTGGGTCGCTTCAACACATCACTGTTCTTTCTCTAAGTCTCAGTAGGCTCATCTGCAAATGGAGTTTGTTGCTCTTGGCCTGCTTCCTTCTTGGAGATTAGATGAGTTTAAAGGAGGTGAATGTATGACCATCATGATAGAATTTTTATGTTCATGCAGCATGTTAGGGTTTTAATTTGCTATATATCATCAGAGCAAATGCCTTGATGGGCAATCCAGCTCTGGACTTGGTGCCAGTGGGGCTTAATAGGTGTCTGTTGAGTAAGTATGTGTGCAAGTGAATCGATAAATCTACAAATAAGTAAGTACCTGGGTAACTGAGTGAAGAGATGATTGTGTGAGGCAGCAAATGGACTGGAAAATCACAACGACTAACATTTTTGGGCACATAGTACATCAGGGCCTATTGCAAAGGCATCCCTTAATCCTTGCAACAAATCCAAGAGATTGCTACTATTGTTAATTCCATTTTGCAGATGAAGAAACTGAGGGTGAGAGAAGTTAATTGACTTGCTAGAACCACAAATCTTCTAAGTGGCAGAGAGTTAAGATTCCAGCCCATGCCGTCTGACTCTAGCACTCAGAACATTAAACCTCTCGCTGGTCCTGCTAAGTGAATCACTGAGTGAGTGGGTAGATGAAGGAAAAAATGCAGTCTTCTGTGAACAAGACAAAACACTTTCTTTTCTTGCCTTTTTTTAATGGTGGTGTTAGGGATTGAACCCAAGGCCTCAAGCATGCTAGGCAAATGCTCCATTACTGAACTGCATCCTCAGCCTAAGACAAGCCATTTTCTGATGGGGAGGCAGAAGCTCTTGGGGGTGAGGTGGGTATCCAACCTCTACACTGAGGGCAGGGTCACTCCTAAGGTAGAGTTCAATGGGCCTGCCTTATATCCCTACTCCTTCCTCCCTGTCTGCAGGTGGATGCCGCCATGCAGCACTATGGGGTGAATGGCTACTCCCTGCACGCCATGAATTCGCTCAGTGCCATGTACAACCTGCACCAGCAGGCAGCCCAGCAGGCCCAGCATGCCCCCGACTACCGTCCATCAGTGCACGCGCTTACACTGGCTGAACGCCTGGCTGGTAAGAGCCCTGGGGATGGGACCTTGGAGATAGGACCTGGGGGCTAGAGGAAATGGCTCCAGAAGGGGAGGGAGCACTGGGAAAGCTTACTCTGAGTGGCACAGAAAGCCCCAGGTCACTTAACACAGAAATGACAATTCGCAATCTGTATAGTGCTCATTATGGCAGCACTTCTGCAAAATCTGTGCATTATATTCAGAGTGCCCCTTCTTTACCAGCACTAAGCTGGGCCCTGAAGTTGCCCTATGACTTCAACTTCCCATGACAAGCCGGTAAGGAACATGTCCATTAGGTCAGTCTCACACAGGCCAGTAGCTGGAGAGTAGCTGGCAGAGGGCTGCAGAAAACGAAATTTCAGGCAGAGGGAGTCCTGAATAATAACAGCTTCCATGCTGTGAGTACCACCGTGGCTGGCACCCTTTGAGGCTCTCTTTCTCAATGATTCAAACTGTTTGATTCCCATGAAAAGAAACTATTTCCATTTTATAGACAAGGAAACTGAGGCCCAAAGAGGTTAAATCTGGGTGAAAATGGGATTGTAACATGACATCATGGCTGAAAAATGTGAGCTATGGAGTCATAAATTTACAATCAGTGCAGGGGCTGCCCACTCACTTCACTTTTCTGAGCCTCAGTTTCCCCTGGGACAGTGGTAGTGTCCATTCTACAGGATGGCTTGGAGGTTATTTGAGAAACACATCCAAAATGTTCAGCAGAGCCTAGTGGTAATCAGGAGTCATCAGTACCCAACACCCAAGGTGAGTACCAAGTTCCCAGGAGGGAGCTGCAGTCCCTGGAGTCCTCCACTCCTGGTTCAGCTGGTTGTTGCCCCGACTGTTTCTTAGTGGGAATGAGAAAGATTCAGTGACATACTGGGGAGCTTGATTTCCTGGGAGGTGATGCCACCCACTCCATCCTGCCCCAGCCAAGCCTTGAGCAGCTGGTGAACCCATGTGGGTGCATCCCTGCGCCGGATGGTCCTCAAGGACTTTAGGGGAATTTCTAGAGAAACCAGGTGCCTACCAATCCTTGAGAGAGCAAGGCAGAAAGACCATGGCCAGGGGCCAATGGTGGGCTGGCTCAGAGCAGCAGGATCAGCTAGCAGAATCAGGGAGTGCTTTCTGCAGGCCACTGGACGGGAATCAGGCTTTTAAAAGGCACAATGAGGAGGAAGGACCAGCAGGAACTGAGGCATAGAAATGATATGGGGTCTGAGGACCCTACCTGAGTAGAAATGCCAGCCTGGCAGGGAGGATGAGGTGGCCAGTCCTGTTCCTTTAGACCCTGCCAGTCCTCTGAGCAGGACCTGGTGGATAAAATGGAGCACTCGTCCATTTTCTCTAGATCAGGATGGGGCATGTCCAGTGTGGGTGTGGTAGGTACAATCCTTCTGGAGCTCTGGCTACTTCCCTGGTTTGGAGCGAATTGTCTGAGCTCAACCTGGTGGTGACATCACCTCCTGACAGTGTTCCAGGATCCAGGGACTGGTGACAAAGTCAGGGATAAAGGCTCATGTCTGCTGGCATGGACAGAGGAACTGGGGTGATCAGCCCACCCTACAATTCTCTAACTCTTAAGAAGGAGAGGATAGGGTCCGGGGATTTAGCTCAGCAGTTTTGCCGCCTGCTGCGCAAGCACAAGGACCCGAGTTCAATCCCCGTACCAAAAAAAAAAAAAAAATGAAGAAGAAGAGGATGAATTCCAGCTGGGGTCCTGCATGGAGGCCTCACCTTCCAGCCCAAGGCACACATTATTCTGGGTGGTTTTTGCGTTACCAGAAATGAGGGCAGGACAACAAATTTTTTTTTTCGGTATCCGGGATTAAACTCAGGACCTTGTGCTTACAAGGCAGGTGTGGCACCACTGAGCTAAATTCCTGGCTCAAAAAAAATTTTTTTTGAGACAGGGTCTTGCTACATAGTTCAGGCTGGCCTTGAACTCACTATGTATCCCAAGCTGGCCTTGAACTCATGGCAATCCCCCTGCCTCGCCTCTGCCTCCAGGTGTGCACCACCATGCCTGGCAGGACCATAGAATTGATGGTCCACCAGCTCTGTCTCCCCTCCAGGCTTACTGCCTTGGAACCTGGTCTCTTTGCCTTCTGTCCCTCGGAAGGCAGCCAGAGCATTAAGAGTAAACGAAGCAAGCCTTTTTTGAGCTCTGAGGGCTCTGCCAGAGCCAGACTGTTCAGAAAACAAAAGAGATGCCGTCAGAGATGCCTAGGCCATCTGAGAGGATGAGACTTAATGCAGCAAACAGAGAATCAAGTGCTGATGAATTCTGTCTGCCTGGTCAGACCTCCCCTAAAGAGACCTTGAGATGAGTACCAGCCCTCAGCCTGACTTCTCACAGTCAGGGGCCAGTATTCTGATGCTAAGGAAGCTTTAGTATCCAGAATCTCAGGGCCATAAGGTAGAAGACCATTGTGATGTGGAATCAGCATCATGTAATCTCAGATTATTGTACTCACAGTATCCTAAGACTTTAAGGATCTTAAGGCAATACCCACCTTACCCCCTCCCCCCAGTTTCAGCCAGATAAGGAAGATGACCCTTGACCACATGCCTGATAGCTATTCTTGGAGCTGAGTTAGACATCTATAGTAATAATAATAGATGTGGGGTGGAAAGATTTTGAGAACCCTGGCAGTAGAGAGGGGATGGGTAATTTCCAAGGGCAAAGAGCTGCCAGCTCTGGCAGCTGCCTGGCTGTTTGAAGTGGGTCAGAGCAGAATTAGTTTAAAAACCTATTTCCCATAATTAAATGGCCCCCCTCTTGTTGCCCTCCAACGGCTGTACATTTCAAGACATCATCTTGGAGGCCCGCTATGGCTCCCAGCACCGCAAACAGCGTCGCAGCCGCACAGCGTTCACAGCCCAGCAGCTTGAGGCCCTGGAAAAAACCTTTCAGAAGACTCACTACCCAGATGTGGTGATGCGTGAGAGGCTGGCCATGTGCACAAACCTGCCTGAGGCCCGGGTGCAGGTAGGGCCCAGCTTCCCAAGACCTTGCAGATAAGCACTAGCCCGTCCATCTGGTCCCCACTGTCCAGGAGCAGCATTTGCTCCATCAGTGCCGAGGTGCAGCTGCTCCCTCCGTCAATGCTTTCAGCCAAGGCGAGGTGACTTGGGAAGGACAAAGGGGTGGGATTCCTAGAGGTGTGGGAAACGTTTTCACCCACATCCTGTCCCAGAGCACTCTGCTCCACAACAGCCTCTCTTCTTATTTTCTCCCTATCTCTGACTGCTCCTTTCTCTGCCCCTAGGTGTGGTTCAAGAACCGCAGGGCCAAGTTCCGGAAGAAGCAGCGCAGCCTGCAGAAGGAACAGCTTCAGAAGCAGAAGGAGACCGAGGGCTCCCACGAGGAAGGCAACATTGAGCCCCCAACCCCAGACACTCAGCTGGAGTCGGACCAGCCCCCCAGTCTGCCCAGTGGTGATCCTCCTGCTGAGCTTCACCTGAGCCTGTCAGAGCAATCGGCTAGTGAGTCTGCCCCTGAGGACCAGCCGGACCGTGAGGAGGATCCCCGGGCCGGGGCTGAGGATTCCAAAGCTGAGAAGAGCCCTGGGGCTGACAGCAAGGGGCTGGGCTGCAAGAGGGGCAGCCCCAAAGCAGGTGAGGTTTGGGGCACACTGCAGGCGGACTGGGGCCCCAGCGGGGTCCAGCCTGATGGGTCCTGACTCTGTGAGTGGGTGTGATCAGAGGATAGTCCAGAACTAGCACTCAGGGGCAAGGCCAATTACAAAGAAATGGCATGGTAGGCCCGTGCCAGGTGTTCACTCTTTAGTTGCTGAATTGTGGGAAGGTCTAGAGCGGTGGTGGTGAATTGATGGCATGAATGTCACAGCAGGCTGTCTCTGAGAGGGTGTAGGGGATGAACCTTTTAGGGTTGGCACAAACTGCTGCCTCATCTCTTTCCCACAGAGCTGCCCTGGGCAGGAGCCCCCGCCCCTAGCTGTGTTTATGAAGGAACAGAGCTCTGGCATGAGGCATCTCTCAGATACAAACACCAAGGCGAGGGAGGGGGTAGGAACTGTGAGCTCAGGGCTGGAGGGAGGCAATGGCAGCTGTGGACAGCAGGGGAAGGGGAGGTGACAGCTTTTGAAAAGACAAAGGGGATCTCTAAGCACTCAGACATGGGGACCTGGGCAAGATCCCTGGAGCTTCCCAGCTCTCTCTTCCTCCCAACATTCTGAGTGACTCACTGGGATGCGCTGGCTGAGAAAGGGTGGATATGGTTTCAGCCAGAGCCTGTCCTGTCAGCAGTGCTGTGGGGATGGGAGGCTGAGAGAACCTCCTGGCAGACCAGTCCCCTTGTCCTGAGTACTCGGTTCTCCATTCTCTGCTTGCAGATTCCCCAGGCAGCCTGGCCATCGCTTCTGCTGCCCCAGCGGGTAGCCTCCTGGGCCCCTCCCACTCCTATTCCTCGTCCCCGCTGAGCCTCTTCCGTCTGCAGGAGCAGTTTCGCCAGCACATGGCTGCCACCAACAATCTGGTTCACTACTCGTCCTTTGAAGTGGGAGGCCCAGCCCCCACAGCGGCTGCCGTGCCCTACCTGGGTGTCAACGTGGCCCCTCTCGGCTCCCTGCACTGCCAGTCTTACTACCAGTCCCTGTCTGCAGCCGCTGCTGCCCACCAGGGTGTGTGGGGGTCCCCACTGCTGCCTGCGCCCCCTGCAGGGCTGGCACCGGCCTCAGCTGCCCTGAACAGTAAAACCACGAGCATTGAGAACCTGCGGCTCCGGGCCAAGCAGCACGCAGCTTCCCTGGGACTTGATACGCTGCCCAACTGACTGGTCTTCAGCCCAGCCAAGGGGCTTGGGTGCCCCCTTCCAAGCCCCATGGTTTTCCCCAGAAGGCTCAAGGAGGTAATTTTAGGAGTCCAGAAATCAGGGGGCCTGAGTCTTCTCCCTGTCCTCTTCCTCAGAGCCACAGCCCCCGGTGAAACCTACACACCCTCTGCATGGCCCTGCTTGGACCCCATGGAGGCAGAATGGGGAGGAGGTGAGGGGCAGGCTAGATCCTCTCCTCAGTGTCTCCTCCTCCCTGCCCTCCTCCCACTTCTGCCCCTAGTAAGTTGATGTGTGGAATGTGAGATATAAATATAAATATATAAAGCTCTATTCTCAGGCACTGCCTGCCCCAGGCCCCTGTCCTGCTTCTGTTGCTTCTCCCTGACATCCTTGCTCTACCTGCAGCTTCTACAGCTCACTCCAGACTTCCCTTCTCTCTTGATCTCCCTCTCCCTACCTCCTTTCTGGTCACAATCCCCGCTCTGTCTTCCCCACCCTGATCTTTCTCCTGTGTCTCTTCCTCCTGCCCCTTTGATGCTGGCTGTGTTGGTGTCATCAGTTCCCCAGCTGTATTTTCTTTGGGATTGTAGTTTTTTGGTTTTAGTAATTTTGCTTCTTCCTGTTTCTCTGCTCTTCTCTTCTCCCTCCTGGCTTCTTCCCTACCTGCCTGTCTTTCCCTTCACCCGCATCCTCTTTAGGCAGCTATTCCATGCCATGCCCCAACAGGAAACAAGGTCCTAGATAGAGACCCCGGAGCAGCAGGCAGGAGGTGGTCCTGGTCCTCATGTCTACCCTCCCCTGACATCCAGAAGGGGGGCATGAGCCATTTTCTCTTCTCTCTTCCCAGCTTGGAGGCCCCATTTTCTCAGCTTAGAGAGGAAGGAATGGAGGCAACAGTCAGGCTGGAGTGGGCAGTGAAATAGCCAGCGGCCCTGCCTGCACTTCCTCCAAGGCCCCTGTTCACTCAGGTCTGACTGGAGCTCTAAGGCCCTTTTGATGAGATTTCCCTGCTAGGTGAGAGGTACTCTCAGAGGGAACAGGGCTGGTCCTCCTCTCTCAGTCCCAGCCTCTGAGTTCAGCAGTTTCTCTTCTTCCTTGAAGTGTGTCGGAGCCAGAAATGAAGGTTGAACTCAGGGTCCTGATCACAGTGAGTGAAAACCACACAGCAATGCATACGTTGAGGCTTCTGTTGGCTTCTTGTTCCAAAACCAACAGTGGAAATAGGGGCCTCTGTCAAGCGAGTCACTGGCACAGAAAGGGATGGTCTGTTACGGGCAGGCAACCCAGCTCAGCAGAGCCCCTTTCACAGAGGTGTACCTTGGACAAGCCCAGAGCCTCTCTGGGACCATGTCCCCATCTGCATTAGATGGCCTGTAAGATCCTGTCCAGCTCCAACATTCTACATTCTGTGCTTATAACCTTGAAGGACAGAAGTTTTTAGTTAAAATCTAACAATAACAACTATAACAATGCTCTGAATATATGAATTGGGAAATTGCTGTTGACTTGCTTGGAGCAATGACTACTGTACACAGGAACCTATCTGCTGACACTGCCTAAGTTTCCCCGTAAGTGTAATGGTTCCTTTCTAGTTCAGACAATCTAGATTAATCCTACTTTTCTTGAGTTCCAGTGCCAGGCTCTGGGGTCACCTTATTTCCATGCCGGTGATCAAGGGGGAAGAGGATGGCTTGAACAGGTTCCTGGTCACCATCCTCAACTCTTTGTGGCTCACCACTGGACTTCTACTCCCTCCTTAGAGAAGCTGAACACCAGGGTCATGGTTCTGAAGGTTTGTCTTCCTCCATGGGCACCCTGGTAGGATGGGCTTGAAGAGCAATCAATGCCCATCATCCTTTGGAGGGCAGTCTCAACTGGAGCAGATGGAAAATGCTCTGGGCAGGAAAAACTGAGGAGGGTGGAGGCACGGACCAGGAAAATTATTTGGACAAAGCAGGGGAAGTGATACTAAGTGAACCATGGGGCTGAGGGGCCTGAAATCCAGGCTAAGAGCCTACCTCCTTGTGGCAAGTACTGAGGCAAACAATTGAGGGTTTCTGAATGGGGTGTCTTGCTGGGATCTGGAGTTTGGAAGGTGAATCCAAAACCATGGGAGCATCAGAGGAGGAGAGACCTAGGCAGGGGGAAAGGAGGGTGGCAAAGGCTATGGGAAACACAGAAGGCATTTTTGGTTTAGAACCAGTTCTGTGGCCCATAATCCATTGACTATCCTTTGTGGACAAGTCCAGGAAGTTCTGTTTCCAAAACAAAAAAATCTCATCTGGACCAGGCATGGAGCTGAAGCTTTTTGTCTGTCCCTGGGTGCAAATGACTGTTAGTAGGCCTTGGAATCCAACAGCCCTAAATATCATCACCTCCTGCTCTCCTCAGGGTCAAGGGCACCTGTTGCTATGTCCTATCACAGCAGGAGCCAGGCCTCCCTTAGGCTCCTCCCATCTCCCTCAGATCTTTGTTGACACTTCTGCCATTAGTTCATCCAAACCCATAAGCCCAGGCAAGGCAGGGAAGGTACATGTGGTTTTGGCGTTTGAGGGAGTCTCAGGCTAGTTTAGAGCCCCAGCCCCAGACACTGAAAGCAGATGGAGGAGAGGAGGGTGTCCCTGTAGGAGGTAACTACGGGTGTCCTTGACGTGAGGAGTCAGAGGACACGAGCTTGAGTGGGCCCTCACCCACCAGCCACGGATCCTGGAGCCTCTCTGAGCCACCCTGAGGGCCAAGAGCCTGAGCTCGAGTCCCAACCATCCCTTGCAGGAAGCCTCATGCCACTCTGCTCCCTTCTATTTGAGGTCTCCCCTTCCCTGCTTCCTTACTCTCCCGGAGTGTGGTCCAGGGGCCTGGGTCCCCACCTCGACTCTTAAGGCTGGTGTTCTGTACAGACTGCTTTCCAAGCCAGCTGTTTTGTGACCATTTGTGTTTAGAGGATATGCCAGCCTGTGGCAAAACACTGTGTACTGTATTTATTTATTCTGTTAGTTGAAGAAACAAAACTCAAACCACCCAGCTCCCCTTGTCCTGCCTCCTGCGTAGTGCAGCATGATACTGTCTAGTGTATCTGTCTGTCTTTTTGTCCGTCTTATTTCCTGTGATGTTGTGACCTGTTCTTTGTCCTACTTGGCTAATAAAAGAGAACCTGGTAGCCCAGTCCTTGATCCATGTTCATTCCCAGGGATGCCTGTGGTGGGCTGAGCAGGTGGCATCTTGAGGTCGGTTCAGTGTCTCTCCACTGCTGCCACCATGGCCAGTGGGGAGCAAAGCAGGCCTCCCTCCTGCCCATTGGCCACTCCCGAGCTGTCCTTGCAGCTCTCTTCATGAGCTTTACCAGTCAATCTGCAGCTGGTGTGCACAAAGGGGAGCAGAGGGCGGTGGAGAGCTCCGACTTCTCCGGGCTGTTTGGGCCTCACCAGAGCACAGGTAGAAGGAAAGCTGGAGCAGGAGACATCTGGCATAGGACTCCTAAGAGTAATCAAGGTAGCCTGAAGGGATAGGGCTGCAGGGTGGAGAAAGAGGATCCTGTAGAAAGCCACAAGCAAGTCATGGCCAAAAGGGAATGACAGGGAGACACATTTGGATCTAAAGCCAGAACTACTCCTAGTGGAACAAGTGGCCTTCAGAGGGAGTGAGCTCTTGGTCCTCAGAGGTGAGCAAGCAGGAGACTGACTGCAATGGTGAGGTGTATGTGTGTATGTGTTGCTGGAATTCTGTGTGTAGGTATGAGAACCCATGCCATGAGCTCCCAAGTTTACCTGCGGGCATTAGCATGTGCACGTATACTCACTGGAGCAGGAGAGAGAGACAGTGGGACTGTAGATAGCTGATAGCAGCCCAAAAAGTGCACAACTCAGAAGTTCTTGCTGTAAAATCTTGGTTCCTTCTGCTGCATTTCAAGAAAGAGGGCCAGAGGTCTCCGCCATCCTGGCTCTAACTCCCTTCCCTGAGTTCCAGAGCCAGAGGGCGGTGAACACATGGGGCTGGGGCTTGGGGGTTTGAGAGCCCTCTGTCTGAGGCCTGCAGGAAGCTGTCTGCTGGGCTTCCCGAGGGAGGGGGCTGACTCCCCAATTTCCAGGTCACTTCTACCCCAGAAGACACATTCCTCTCTTCCCAGTGGGGCTGAGGATTAGGGTGGGGAGCACCCCCTTCACCTTGCCTCCCTGGCTCCCTGGGAGGGGCTGACAGATCAAATGTCTGCCCTGCAAACCTGTGCCTCCTACATAGCTCATGTCAGGGCCACACGGTCACTGGCATAGAGGGTGTGCTGGTGACACTGCAGTGCAGATCACTCATTCACTCAGCATTGGCTGAGCACCTGCTCTGTGAGTGTACCTGGCCTGGGGCTGGGTGCTGAGAAGCAAAGAAACAAATAGGGAAAACATGTCCTTGACCATCACAACACAAGATGATTTGGGGGGTTCAAAAATAGGGAACTGCCAGGCGTGGTGGGGCATGCTTGTAATCCCAGCACTCTGGAGGCTGAGGCAGGAGGATCACTGTGAGTTCAAGGCCAGCCTGAACTACATAGCAAGACCCTGTTTCAAAACAAAACAAAACCCAAAACCAAACCAATAAAAAATAGGGAATTGTGTGAGCTCAAAAGAGGGTTCCTAGATCATCTGGAGAGGTCAAGAAGGCCCCTTGGGAGGGAGACTTTGACCTGAGTCCCATGGGTCCAGTGTTCACAAGGTGGGCAAGGGTGTCCAGGAAGAAGTGCAGTATATCCAAGCTATAATGACTCCCTGAGCCCTGGGAGAGCAAGGGGCCTGTCTGGGGGATGCTTGAGCAGTGGGGTGGTGCCAGTTCATGAAGGTGGGCATGAAAGCCAGGCCAGGATCTTGGTGGCATTGAAGCTGTTCCCAGTGGGGGAGTGGGGTGATCAGACTTGTATTTTATTAACCATGCCCCTCCTTTTGTTGCATGGCGATTCATGTGAAGGAAGAGCAAGAGCCAAAGAGACCAGAGAAGAGGCCATTGTCAGGTTCCTGGCATCATCTAGATTAGGAGAGTGGGGGAGAGAGAGAGCTCAGATTGATGTGAGATTCAGAAGTAAAATCACCATGGTGACTGCAGGATGGGAGGGGTCAAGTGTACTCCCAAATCTCTGGCTATCAACCACAGGGTAGATGAGGACCCTTGTGCTGTTGGGCCTGGGGTGAGTGTTGGAGAATGCTCCTGAGCTCAGGGTTCTTGTGTGCTGTATCTGAGGAGTCCTCGATTTATTCAAGGAAAGATGTTGGGTCTGTCTCCGCTGCTACTTTATTTAACAAACACATAGTGCTTCCTCTATGCCTGGTGCCTCATAAATAAGTCACTTATTCCTCATGAAACTCTGAGGTAGTTACTATTATTATCCCCATTCAGGAAATTGACAGTTCAGGAAATTGAGGCACAGAGCAGTTAAATCATTTGCCTTGAACCACAAACTAGTAATGGGACCACCAATGTGTGGACCCAACTAGTCTTGGAATCTGGGCTGTTATTCTTGGTGGTTGCCAACAGGGAGATGGTGACCCAAGCCACATTGCTAAATGAGACCCCACAGAGAGCAGCTTGAGGTTGGGACCTCCATGAAATGTTGTCTGTGACACAAAGAGAATTCTACTAATGATGGAGTCGGGACAAGCCAGCCCATACTTGCTGTTTACTGTGGGCCTCTCTGTGGTCCTGTTTCCTCTTCTGTTGAATGGGAACCATCAACTATGCCCAGCCTGATTCCTGGGAGGCTCAGATGGGATAAAGAGAAGGCACTGCGGGGAGGTAATGGCTAAGTAGGCAACAGGTGCCCGGGCAGCCCATGAGGGGTGAAATGGGAAGGGCTAGAGGGTTCCTCAAAACTTCTCCCCCAGCTCCCCCTCTCTTGGGCCTTGGCCCCTTGCTTTTTCAGTCGGGGGGGTGGTGGGTGTGGTTCCTTAGGGGCCACTGAGGAAGAGACACCTACTGAAAGGGCTGGGAGGATGGACCCCTTTAGGGCTGAGCACCTGCCTCCCCATCTCTTTCCCACAGAGCCGCCCTGGGCTGGAGCCCCCACCCCTAATCTCTCATTCTCCTTTTGCTTCTGGGAAAGCCGATTAGGAGGCAGCCTTCAGCCCGCCCCCCTGACAAGTTTGTCTGAACTCCCAACAAAGGCTCTCAGAGGCTGCAGGGGGAGGGCTCAGGCACGGGAACCTGACACCACTGGCCGGGATCACCCCAGCAGCCGAAGGCAGCTCTGTGGCTCTGCCCACCCCAGGGCAGGCAGGAATGTGCCTCCCAGGGGACCTGGTCCCACGAAGGCCTAAGGGCGGCTCAGGGCAGGCAGGCTGGGGGACTCCACT